AGACGACGTGCAGTCCGGAGTCACATAGACATTGGTAACATAAATATAATTGTATTTATTCAAGTGTTTTGCGCGACATCTTAAAGCTAAACAGTCGATAAAGTTGTCTGAAAACTTAACTCACACAAAAATAAATCGATACGATTCACGTTTACGAATGTAGCTACACCGCCACACATTTTCTTATATCCTGGTCGATCGTGACGATAGATACTGAAATCTTGTGGTGATACTGGGCAATTTCCTTGTAAGTAATTCAACCAAGACTCTTGAATTACGGTCACCCCTCAGTGACGACACATATTTTCATTTAGTAGGAGTTGAAGATGGTCCACCTTGCCAATTACTGATAGGCAGTTATAAATTAGCAGTTCAGGAACCGAAATCTGAATAATGTTCATTCTTTTCAATGCACACTGTCAGCCACCACGATGTCACTGACTGTTTTTTTGTACCTTGTGAAGTGCTAGGTCATGATTGTTTCCTATACGCACATGAACAGTATATGAGATCAAAAGACGTAATGTGTCAAAATAGAATAATAAAAAGAATAACTTGTTGAAATATCTAGAAGGGACGAACAGTTAGCCCGGATATTCAATCACGTCGCCAAGTAAGCTTCAGTATATACTTTGGTATGACCTAGATACTTGATATAATTAGATTGAAACTGACACTAGGATAGATTAACGGCCACATTTGCATCACAAAAGTGCCTAAATAACTTTGAAGGATGCTTGTTGTGCAAATCAATATTGTCAGCATGATTTATGACATAATACTGATGCAATTCAATACCATCAAACTGGTGATTATTTGATTTATAATCCTCCGTAATATCTCGGACTAAACTTATAGTATGAACGGTAGGAATTTGCATATGAACAGCCCAAATGATGTTTTAGTAGCGGTTAGTTCGCTAGTGATCTCGTAGAGTGAATTCTGCAATTACGTACCCTTCAGGTATGTTTTTGAAAAATACCGTGACTTTCGTACTTTACATAAAATATCCTCAACTTCTTCAGTGGAGCAGCTCTGCTGCGAAAGCCGAGCATCTAGTGTAAAGTGGTTATCACCACATATTCTATGTGCTCTTTACATTCGCTTTCAATGAAGTCATAATGGGAGTAGCCCAACTAAACGACTCAGTTGGCGGTCATTATCCGTTCTTAACTAGTTTATCTAACTCACTCTTCACAGCCTCTAGTAAAACACATAAAATTAGCCGATACTTCAAGAAGACGAACTCTCTCCTTAATTCCAAGTATGCTGGTTACATTTTGAAACCTCTCACGGTCTTTTACTAATTCAAGATTGGATCTCTGATTAAGGTACTATTAGGAGAACTGGTGCATAAAGAAATGCACAGGTTTGGTATTCTGATGCCTTTTAACTCAACAGTGAATGGGTCGTACTCACTAACCAAAAAAGAAATACTCACACAAGCATCCTCTTCAGTCCTCAGCAAGATGAACGAGTTGGACTTGGTTGTTTTAGTAATTAGGTTTTGAACGGGTGTAAAATATTTCTGTGGGCGGTAGTGTGCGACAACGGATCCATACTTAACTCTAAATCAATTGGTTCCTACCTACAACTATTCAACGTCTTAGTAGAAGATGATTTAAAGCATTTGCAAAATTTCTGTACGTGTCCAATTATTCCGCATTTACGGATACGTGCACAACGAGATTGACATGAATTACGAATATGCAATTTACCACATGAAAGATAGGATTTACTGTTCTTTATTACAAAATTCTCTTATTTGGAGCGACTGACTTCATTTCACTCTAAAAAGAGATAATAGGAAATGAATCTAATTTATTAGACCTCTCTCTGTTCTACTACACAATGTTAAGCAACGTTTGGCGTTCATATCCAAGTGCCTTGCTGCTCTTCTTTGTCTCTTTTTTCTTCTTCAGAATCTTGCTCTGAGAGCACAGCTATGAAACTGCTGACGTCTGGAACAAACTTGACATATGTGTCTCCTCAAGGTCATAGTTTCCTGCAAGCGCTTTACGAGTCTACTTTATAACAACTATAAACTTAATAAGTTGGGAAGCATGTTGTGCACCAACAAATGTTGTAATTTATAGATCATGCCTGTAAAAGTGGCATGTACCTGCACATGCAGAAATATATTATCATTTTTATTAAGGTCGGATTAAAAGTGGTTTTCGCGTTATTCGCTTGTCTGAATGAATTGAAACGATTAATGTTTGAAGAAATTAGAGGTTTATTTCATGCTTGATAATAAGATATCATTTTGTTGCGTACCAGCGCCAAAAGGGTTACTATTAATAAACTCAAAGGCAAAACAGAAATATTTAGCTGTCTGGAAAGTACAGGGAATAATTTGTTTAGGCTGGTTTCTTAGTTTCCAGTACCTTATAACAGCAGTCAGTAGATCGTAGCGCTATATGTGCAGCTTTTCGCCAAAATCCAAACCAAAAGCTTAAAACTCAAGCCATAACGTGAAATTTCCCATAGTTCGATAAGGGACTCGGACTGATTCGTTGACCTGTGCTCTTTCAAGAGTTTCAGAACGATCGCTTAGCATTCTCTTTAGTTTGCTGGAGGAAAGTAGAATCGGATTATCAGGAAATGTATTATCTTTTGACAAGCTACAGGTTTCTCTACCAATATAAGTCATTAAAATGAACTGAAATTCTGTCTTTCTTGAAGTCATATGGCTGACACTAGGTGACAAGATATTCTGAAAAAATTTTCATTTTCAGCGACGATCAGCCATTTTCTCAAGTGTTTTGGGTCCATTAGTGTCGCGACGCTAGGTATGAGTGTGAAATTTATCAACAAAGTACTCCTAATCCCAATAAGTACAGAAATTTGATGAGACACAAGCAACAACCGGTAATAGGAGTACGCAGTGTGAAATTGCAATATGTCGTTAAAACAGATCAAAACACAGAATAAAATATTTGACTGCATGGTAAGTGTACTCATCACTCACCACAAATGTTGTGGCCAAAACGTCCCACATGCTTGAAAGAAGAGAGATTGTGAAGGTTGAGGTTCCTAAAATAAGGTCATTTTTACGCTCATTAAAAGAAGTGTGAACCGTTTTGAGATGATATGAAAAATCTACAACACAAAAGCATCCTTTCAGTGCTCTTAGTTTTGTTGGAACTAAACGGTCCAAGTCCGGAGTCCTCATTTCTGTTCTCAACGCAAGAATCGGGCCATGCATCATATTTGGGTAAGCTTTTGCTTGATCCACAAGCGGTGGGTCATTTTTGTTGACTCCATTGTTTGCGACTGTCTGTCTTCTCAGGTTTTATTACCATTCTTTGCCCCCCCATCCTTATTGATTTACTATTTTGGTCAAACTCCAACAATATGGCTCGTTCACCTTTTTTAAAGGTTAATCAATTTGAAACATAATCATTTGCCGATTGATTCAGATGCCAAACCTACCAAAATTCTCTACCACCCACAGAAATACCTCGACCTTAAATTTTGACATTTGTGCAAACGAATTCGTAGCCGCGGTTATCTATGTACAATAATTTCTCTGTGATACGGAGTTTGAGAGAGGTGTGGTAGTTATGTGGTGGAATTGGGCTCTAATACGAGACAATGTGGGAAATTGACATTTAGCATTTAACACGGAGAAAAACCAAACGATGAAGAGGGCGGAAAGAATGAATCGAATTTAATTGGAGTTGATCGGATGGCATGGCTCGGCCCTGCGGAATGTTACTTTATATCTTTTATTCATATTAAATACATTGTTCTTTCTCTAGCCTAATCTCGTTCTCCATCATGTATTGGTAATTTTACGATACAGTGAGTTGGTGTAGACAATGATGTGGCTTCCACGCAAAATCTTATAGATTAGGCAGTTATATCATGACGAATCTACAGTTTTAGGATTAGGTCTATTATTAGAGCAGCACTAATATCATAGTAGACCATAGTTCTACAGTTACTAACAAGTTCGCCGCTACAGAAAGTGGATGTTCATGATAATTTCAGGAATGTCAGTACTGATATTACTCCCTAACCACACGATCCTTAAAGCTGAACATTCAGCGACTTAGAGGATCTATAATAGTCCATGAACACTTATAGAAGGTCGGAGAAGGTGAACGCAGGAGCAGTTAATCGTGAAAGCATGGCTTGGCTATGCAGGCTCAGTCACTCTGTGTAACGTCAAGGTCATTGTATCAAGTGTATTATTCTGTTTCCAACCCAAAGGTTTTCTTCAAATGTTGTTGACTTTCTCGATGGACACATCAGTACAGACAACTATATGACTTCTACGTACGATGTTGTTGACTAAGCAGGCACGTCACGCTAAACTAGATTTATACCCTATTGCGATAGATAAGTGCACTAGTAGCCATTCTAGACCTAGGTTCTACAGGTTCAGTGATATCAAATATCTTTTGAAGTCACATTCAGACTTGAAAACGTTTGGTTCGTTTCAAAGACTATCAGGGAACAATCATTAAACTTGAAAGAACCCATTAGGGCGGCTATTTGTGTTAAAACACCGGGTCGTAAAGTACACATGAAATACCATCTCATTGCTTCAGTTGACGTTATTTCTCCACTACACGTGTAAATTTTGCGTTTACTTCTTCATATATCTTGACTGCGTTTGATTAGTGTAATAGCTGTTTAGTGACATGTCAATATTCGATTCTGCAACTTTATTATCTTGAAACTAATCATCGACACGTCCTAGAAATACATGGAATGTGACCTATGCACAGAGCAAAGAAGGATGGCACAACATATTGTTCCACTCAGAAAGACGAATAAATATCATACATTAGCTCAATCGAAAGATATTGGCAATTGAAGCAGCTCGGATTATTGAATTGATATACGGTCCTCACCAGACGATAATGTCTTAATTTAGGAATGTAAATATTCATAACGTAAGCCCAACTTCTTTCATTTAGATATCAAGTATGCTTTGGTGCCCGTTTTCCATTCAGTGTTTTGTTATTTTAAAATGATATTTGGTGAAGGCCGTCGAGTGCCGTGTTTCTGAATTTGAATTCGACTCTGTCGCGGATTTGTAGTAGTCTAATTGCATCCACCAGAGTGTTTGAAGATCGTGTAAAACGTATGAATCCTAGTGGACATATAGTTGTAATCCGTAGGGATGGTACTGATGGTTTAACTTGCGATTGGTGTTCGCCTTTGTGTGATATTGGGAGGTAAATAATATATTCACTTGCAACCTCATTTCGCAGTAACCAGTCTTGTGACATTCGTGTGCAACACTCAACAGTCGCTCCATTTCATTGTACCCTGCAACTACTGAAAGATGGATTAGTTCAAGCCGTCAGCAGAGTAGATGGACGATACAAAATGTTAGTTAATAATTTCCCGTTGAACGATGCTTGCGTTTTGACTGATAATTGCATACTAACTGTTGGGGATCGTCAGTTTCGCTTTTTCTATCCATCAGTGAGTTTGTTTGGTTAAAAATGAATTAAATTAATATGTTCGTAATAGTTTTAGCATCATATCCCCTTTCTACTACCGTAGATAATAGGATGATTCCCATCCATTTGTTATTTCCTGGCCATTTGTTGTACACTAGTAACTCATCTGGTGCAGCAGTTTTATAGACAAACCGTCTTTATAAGTGTTTGATATTGATTCTGGTTTGGCTCATTTATCTTCTCTTTCATAAATGGTGCATATTTAGTCATTTGAAGAACTTATCTGAGGTTTTTGACTACCTAAAATGGTCTTAAAATCCCTAAATTATTGAGAAACCTCGTCCATGTACATTCTGTTTTAGACATTAGTCCTACTATACATGCGTCCATTGGCATTATTTAATGCGTTTTGTATCATACCTAAGTGTTTCAGTCTGACTAATTTCCGGTAAGTCCAATAAACTCGGCTACTAATCCCGTTGAATTTAGCGGTAAAACCAACTGTACAGTTGGATTTTCAGTTTAAATATTCTGTTAGTATAAGGCCTAGCATCAGCGTATCAGTCCATTACTATATCTCATAACAGCACAGGAAATAATGAACATCGGGAACAAAGCGGTAACAGTAAGTGGCGAAAACTAAAGCCTTCTTCGAAATAAACTTGTAAATCTAGAGGATGAAAGTAAGAAAACGCTTCTAAATTAAAAGTAAGTGTAGCCGAAAACGATATATTTACTCAGCCTTGATAGATTTCAAGTTGTTATCAAGAGCCAGTATGAGTCAGGTTTATCGTACACATCAGCCTCAAACTCCACACTTACCGACACCGCTCACCCCACAGTCCTTCCACCTTCGTCCAAATTGGTCGTGTGCTAGCCATTAGCAAATAGGTGTGTGTGACATAACGTCTTAGCCAAATAAGTGTAGTTTCATCTATGAAATAGTTATGAGTTTTGTCAGTTAGGTGCCTTGATCTTGTTTTGTCCACGGCAGTTGTTTACAGGAGTACTGTACTGTTTCATGTAAATACAATTTAAAATAAAACAAACTTGTCAAAACATATCTATTTTATTAACAAACGGTAAAGATGATTTAACCTAATAAGGGAAAAATTCAAAGATGAAATATAGGAATTAAGAAGACTTAACTACATTCATGGTAAAACTTCACTTAACCAGTTGACAAACAATGTTCATAGGTATAGCATGAGCTTTGCACATTCTAAATGCAAAGTACTTTTCCGAGACTCACATGACGCTGGATCTGCACTCCTTCTTGACGGTGAGCAGATAAAAGACTTATTTATTTGAACACAAACATTAGTACATCGGGGCGCCAAATGCATTTGCGCCACACAATAACAATAAGTTTGTAAAGAGATAATGTAAGTGCGTATAATAATAGCAACAACAACGAACAGAAATTGGTGTGTGGACGCGAAATAATAGTAATAGCAAAAACAGAACCAGAACGAATTTAAGTTGAAGAAGGTACATTCACTTTTATGAAGAACGGTACAGCAGGATCTCTTCTGACTTCGATTCTGAGTCATGCTTGATAACGTCTCTAGCCACAGGGCTGCATCATATTTAGGACCCCAACCAGGGAATCGTGAATGGCCAACAGAGGCCAGTTCTATTCAGCTTTCTTTCATACAACGACCACCCGCTTTTTCCAAGCAGTCCCAGCGTTGCCAAATACTCCACAACGTGGAAATCGCTGGGACAATATTCATAAAACGTGTCCAAGCCACAGAAGTCGATGTTCCAAGATGGTGTACTTGGATACACAATGCCGAACATCTGCATTACTAACATGATTTCGCTACTCGATGTCAGCAATCCTTCGCAGACAACGATGATCACAGAGTCGTCTACCATCATCGACTCGGAGAGGCCAGGTTTCACAAACATACGGCAAAACTGCACTCACCAACGCATTGCAGATCCGACATTTTACAGCCAGACTAATGACGGAGCCAACGATAGCCCAGATTGGCGTTAGCCGCTCTGGCTTTCACTATACGTGAATTATTCTCATTACTCAAGCCATCACCAGCATTTACTCAGTTGCCCAGATACACGAACTTCCCGACTACTTCTGTCTGCTAACGGTCCAAGATGAGTGCAGGTTCAGGGTCCTGATAGTCTTGTAAAAGTACTTTGCACTTCGAAGGTGCGAAACACAGACCATACCTACGGACACTAATTGCCAACTGATTAAGTGCGGACTGTATGGTTTGGGTATCATCACACAGTAAGACAATATCATCCACATACTCAAGATCGACAAGTCTTTCTCTAGGTAGCAGATCCAAACCACCATTACCTGCATCCATCAGAGCTGTTTCTAGAACACTATCGATAGCAAAATTGGAGAGGAATGGTGAGGTTGGGCAACCCTGCCTAACCCCACTGCTTGAATGTAACAATCGAGAGAGGTGGTTGTATGCCCTCACTCTGCCTGAGATGTTTGTATATAGGGCTTTCATGATGTTCATAAATTTTTCAGACACACTTCAATAGACAATCCCAAAAAACAGTTCTATCCAACGAATCGAAGGCAGCTTTAATATCAAGTTGATCAAAAAGCACCAACGGCACACAGCATCAGAACCCAAGTCAAGCACAAAAATCAACAAAAGGATCACCCTTCCGTACATACAAGGAATATCAGAAACCACGAGACTGCTGAAAACCTTCGGGATAGGTGTGGCACACAAACCAACAAAATCACTACAATCAATCCTATGCAAACCAAAAGATGAAATAACAAAGGATAACAAATCAAACATCTACAAAATAAATTGTACCAACTGCGACAAACAATACATCGGACAAAGCGGACGCCCCCTCCACCTACGCTTACATGGACATCAATTAGCAGTCAAACGCCATGATATCTCTTCACTTATATCAATACACGTGGATAACTACGGACACTCATTCGATTGGGAAAATGTAGAAATCTTAGACAGAGGAAACTCCAAAAAACACCAGAGAATTTTTAGAAGCCTAGCACTCAGGTCAATCATCAATCAACAAACATATTGAAATCAATCCAATTTATCAACCAATCAGAAAAATCATGCATAAATATAGGAACAAAAATCAAACCAATGAGAGACACAACCAAAACAAAGAAGTAAACTGATAAATTTAAGGTCAACAAAAGCCAATCAACATCGAGGCGCACAGAACAAGCTGTGAAACACATGGAAAAATTCGAACACTTCACTTCTATCTGAATTTTGTGCTGATGATGTCGTTCAGAAGAACGATGAAAGCTCCACGACCAAACCATCCAGCTCAGAGAACAAAACTCCACCAAAATTACGATTGTTGACCTGTGATAAGTTTGACGGTGTTTTAACATTTGCTGAGGGTGAAGATATGATCAATACATCCTTGATCAGAACAAAAACCAGCCTGCTCTTTGAAAGTCAATCTCGGGTTTTGAATAATCTACGAAGTATGACGGAAGTCATCAGTTCGGATGCGATCGGAAGTAGACCTATCCGCCGAAAATTGTTGCATAGATTATATGGACCATTTTTAAAGGTAGGAGCAACTATAAACTCATCCCACAATATTGGAACAGACTAACTGCCAGACATTTGTAAACGACTCAGTCCCTTAACCAGGTCTCCACCATTTTTGAAAAGTTAAGTCATCTAGGCCTTGTGATTTGTGGAGATTCAAAAGTTGGATTTCCTTGCGGACTTTTGCCTCGTTAGGCGGGTCAGTCGTCACCGGCCATGGAGGACAGGATAATCTGATCAATGTCCCTGGGGCAACTTACCGATAGAACTATCCCTCGGAAAACTCTGCCCGTTTTCCAAGGCGTCGGTGGATGTTATTAATTGGTATCCTTTTACCTTCACAGATTATTTCACTCACACCAAACTTCTTGCTGCCATTAACTCGGATAAGTTGAAAGATCTTCCGGTAGTTACCAGATGTAGCTGCTGCTTCTAACTCGTTAGCACACTCCGACCACTAAGCTTCTCGGTCAATACACAAACTTTGCACAATTTCGTTGCGTAACTATCTTCGTTTATGTTCAAACTCGCTGTGGACGTAGTAGAATAACGTGTTTCAACGATTTGTAAGGAGTCTGTAAAATCTCAGTGCCTACAAGCGGGACGTTTGTCGAAACGGCAAGCAAATTTACTCGCCATTTTCACGGCGTGATGTAAATGCGACAAATGCTCATCTATACTTCTCGGTGAATTGACAGCTAACCTTAAACCTGGCTCCGTTTGATATTTAGTTACAACAGAAGCTGCCATCAATTTGCTTACATCAATCCGTTCAGGGTGATGAATTTGTTGATCACGGAAACGTAAGATAAGATAAGCACAGACCAGGACATCGTCGGAGTCTAGATAAGTAATCCAAAAGGAGCGGCAGTCTATTACATAACCACGCCAGCGGTAACTGATAACGATGTGATCAATCTGTTTATTTTATTGTTTATTTTAACACATAGATATTGGTACAAGGAGGCACCAAATATGCGCCACATAAATCATTCGATTTGTGTGAGGGCTGTGATACTGCCCGGGTGCCCAGACCGAAGCAGGTGGTTTTCTTAGGGGGCCACTCCCCAAGCCTTCGACCTGAAGGTCTGATCCACAAGGCAGTGGAGCAACATAAGGAGATGCAGTCCCATGGCAGCTGGTGACCAACAATTGGTTCATACGCCATTTGTTCCCGCAGGATACTGGAGCCCATATGCATCATTGATTTGGAATCCGGTTAAAGCGCCAGACATTCGCTTTTCGTCCTCTCATTTTCGTAAACAACACCCCCGCCACGAGGAGGAAGTGAGTAGGACTTCCGTGGCAGAGACTATATACGCGTGGCCATGTGAGAGCATTTCGAGAGGGAGAGCGGACTCTCCCCACTCTCGGCCATATCAGGGCATTTGTGGGCAATCTGTGCTCCGGGTCCAGGCTTGAGATGTAGATGGATGACGCTAGGTTTCACATCAAGGATGACTGTGCCAATAGTTGGTGCTAGACAGAAACAGGTTGTAGTCTGAAAAGATTTGCAGTAGACGGTACCGTTATCTGACCTGAGACCTGCAAGCCCCCATCTGCCACCCGAACGTTCCTCCTCTATGTCTAGACGCTTAATCTGTGCATTCAGGTCTCTGGCTAGTACTACAATACCTGTCGAACGCGTTTTATGTAGAAAAACATTTAACTGGTAACAAAATTCATTCTTGATCGTATCTGAGCTGAAATCTGTCGGAGAGTAGGCGGAAATGACGAAAAAGCATGGTTTCTCACACCAATATCTCAATTTGATGGAAATTCTTAATCTAACAGTACAAAACTGACTGTTAATCGGGACCCAATCAACTGGCAATGCATCAGCTTCAGCGCTTAATGCGATACCAACGCCAGCAAAGCCAAACCATAGGGTTCCTGGATAAACGCATGTGTTTGGGCACAACGACTATAATTCAATTAGTGTCACCATCTTGGGACACCAACTTCGGCGGCTTGGGCATATAGTACTAATGTCGTCTCAGAGAATTCCATATCGCGCATTTTTTTTCCAGAGGCTGAGACTAGTTGTAAAAAAAGGTGGTCGATGTACGACATGGTCTCGTGGTATGAAAGAAATCTGTATAGGGCTGGCCTCTGTTGGTCCTTCACGATTCCCTGGTTGGGGCTTTAGATATGACTCAGAACAGAAGCCGGTGGCGATCATGTTGTAATTTTCTTTCGCTGTATTTGAGATGAACTTGAATTGAGAGAGTTCTTTCTGGTTTCATTTTTCTTAAATGAATTGCTCCCATCATTTTTTTCTCTCACACTGATTCCTATTCATTTTTTCATTATGCTCACTCTTTTTTCTCTATCTCTTCAAAAATTTGTTTCTTTACGGTTTGGCGCATGTAAAGTATTGTGTCCCTTTGTACCAATATTTACGTTTAAATAAATAAATAAAGTAAATTGATATATATATATATATATATATATATATATATATATATATATATATATATATCAGAATGGGTTTTGTATAGATTTTAGAAATTTCACAGATTGAAATCATGAGTTAATTGAAGCTAGAACACCTTAGAAAACCTGGCAGCACTGGACGGCCGTTTCGTCTAAGTATGGGACTCAGCAATGCGCATCTACGGTCCCGCACCCCGCGGGATTCGAACCCAGGTCCTATCGGTCTCGCTCCAGGCGCTTAACCAAATAGACCACTGAGCCGGCATCCAACGGTGTTAATGTCTAACTTCAACCAATCCACGAAGTTGCGCCACCGTACACCATTGTTTTTAGTGAGTTCCTATCTCACAACAGACCTGGTTGAACTCCACTGGTAACGACTTCTCACTAGAACTCCAGGAGTGTCTCTTGAAGTCAGTCACTAATGAGCAGATGTTTTTTATCAGAGTGGGTTTTGTGGAGATTTTATAAATTTCACAGATTGAAGTTAGACATTAACACCGTTGGATGCCGGCTCAGTGGTCTAGTTGGTTAAGCGCCTGGCGCGAGACTGATAGGGCCTGGGTTCGAGTCTCGCGAGGTGCAGGATCGTGGATGCGCACTTCTGAGGAGCCCCATGCTAGGACGAAACGGCCGTCCAGTGCTCTCAGGTTTTCCATGATGTTCTAGCTTCAATTGACTCATGATTTCAATCTGTGATATATATGTATAATTCTTTTACTCTGGTCTTACCATGTGTTTATGATTCACAATGGAGTTTGGCGAATGCACTTATGCTTAACGAATTCGGAAGTAATTCGCTTATGCCGAAATGTAATTCCTGAATGATGTAATTGTTTAGTCTAGTTCTATGTGGATAGTAACATTTCATGATACTTATTGGAAAAATACAGGCAATACTTTATGGAGTGTTGAGTGTTCTCAGTTTCAACAGGCACGACTTGGTTCTAAATAGCAAAGGCTAAATAGACTATAATGTAATATATAGCTTGTAGACTCACAAACTGTTTAAGACCTTAAATGGTGTAATATCCCCGAGTAGTTTTCTCGAAATAGCGAATCTCCGTGACATTAAAAAACATGTCACAGTTGTACAAATAATTCCAATTTTCTAAGTTATACACCTGGTTTAAAACTTCACTCATTTGCTGACTTGTTTATAATTTTGATTAAACACATTAGTTTCTCTTCAGTGTAGTATAGTGACCTTTCAGATGAGCACATCAAAATACGTAAACTTATTTTGAAGAGTTGATTTTTAAAACGTATAAATTAAACTTAACGGCACATTTCTAGTTACGGAATTTGTGGTTTTCAATCACATCATTTATCTGAATCCTACCCTGCGATACAGGGTCCAGACAAGTTGACAATTTGATTAACTGTCATTATGACTTGTGGAAATAATTGTTAAATACAGCAGTCTAATTGGTAGCAAGTTTGTGTTACTCTTTCAACCTTGTGAAATAAGCAAATTTAGTTTATGCGCATGAGTAACAAACTTTCACATAGTTAACATGTTTTTATGGAAGTTTCCTCTCATTCAGGAAGTAATAATAACAAAAATATTCTTGCTAATATAATAATATAATATGTGCGTTGCAATTTCTTTACCCTAATTTCAGAGTCGAAAGACAACAACAGATAATTATTTATACGAAACGTCCAGTAAAACACCAAAACACTATAACAAAGAAGAGGTTATAACTCCATCTTCTCTACCTGTTGTTCATCCATCCAAACGTACCACTCCTAGAAAGATATTAGTTAATCCTAAAACTCGCTCCCCTCGACAGAGGTCTGTGACTCCGAAAAGAACCCTAGGGACCAACGAACGTTATGGTCCAGTTCCTCCTCGTCAACCAGCTACCCCACCAATAATCCAAGTACTCCGACACGAACCGAATTCATCACAGTCAAAGCAGCTACCTGTATTGCAAGCAGAAAATGTCGAGTTTAATAAAAAAAGTGTAGGTGATGGTAAGGGTTATAGCTGTACGGATGTGAGTGTTTCTAAATCAAATCAAACAAAGTCATCTGTCGTTCCTGACTTGCCAGATCCAACATTCCATCCTTCGAGCAGTGTTTTGTCATCTATCAAAGTGAGGTCACAAAACCGTATTCACACTCCGATTATTACATCTACTTTATCTAATGATCACTTCAACTTCACACCAAACGAAAATAAACGTTCACCCGGTTTTAGAAAGAGTTTCCATAAGCTTCTCATCTTAAATGAATCATCTAACCAATCCAACCTTAGCAAAATTAATCAGTTTTATGATGAATTAAGTTATGTAAAGCAGCAGGTGATTGAAAGCAAGAGATCACCATCTAACGAACAAGAAAACCAATCTTGTTACGATAAATGCCTTGATCATCCCACAGAAGGTTCCCGTGAATATGTTCCAGAGTTGCCCACATCACCGAATTCCCTGAGGATTGCGAGGAAATTGTCTGCAAAGTCATCGCAGAAAAATAGCATAGCATATTCACCAGAAACAGAACAAGAATTGATTAGCCGTAATAGAAAACGTACCATATCCGGTAAAACTTATCCAGTTGCAGAGGACATGCTTGCTCCTAAACGTCGGAGGGGGGTTTCATTCGGCCCACCCTTAAGCCCTGAACGGTTTGATAAATCTCTTCCCCCGTCTACTCCGGTTAAGCGAGGTGGAACTCCACTAGTCAAAATAAGTCACAGTACCCCAGCAAACCATAGTTTACAAGTCACTTCAGTTGTTGGGCACTCAGCTACACCATTTGATTCCAAATTGTCAGAAGTATCGCATTTATCAGATTTCTCAAAAACATGTGAATCTCCAAATTACAGTGTAACACATAATCGAGTTTCTGCAGTCATCTCTCTCCCTCCAACACCAGACACTAATCTTCTAAATTCCTTGAGTACTGATATTAGTTGTGCTCATGAGAGTTTCGCTAATTTCCCAGTGACTTCCGCAGCTTACTCTGCTCCAATAAAAAAATCCTCAGTCAGCCGAAAAAATTTCAAAAGACATTCACTTGGGTTCCTAGAGAAAACAAGTAAAACACCGTCACCGAGAGTCCCACCAACTAGTCCTGTATCAACCAAACAAAATAAAAAAAACAAATCAACAAACGAACATAATGCTAAAATTCAGGAAAAAAAGTCAAAAAGCTTCCATACCTATGGTGCAAAAATTTATAATAATAACAACCATAACAAACTATACTCCAGTGTTCCTCATAGCTTGATAAATATTACACAGGAAGACAAACAAAATAAAGGAACATCTCCAGTGCCATCGACCAACTTGACAGAGGAGGGAGCAGTTACACCTGAGAAGAGTTTGTTGTCTCCACGAAAGGAATCTGGTTTGACTGGTATTAGGAAGTTGATGAGAACTCCGAAGCCTGTGCAAACACCTCGTATATCTGGTGTTAGTGAATTGTTTGCCGATGAACCTAGTGTGAAGAGACGTCGTAGTCGACCCTCATCAGTGCCACCGACCAACTTGACAGAGGAGGGAGCAGTTACACCTGAGAAGAGTTTGTTGTCTCCACGAAAGGAATCTGGTTTGACTGGTGTTAGGAAGTTGATGAGAACTCCGAAGCCTGTGCAAACACCTCGTATATCTGGTGTTAGTGAATTGTTTGCCGATGAACCTAGTGTGAAGAGACGTCGTGGTCGACCCTCATCAGTGCCACCGACCAACTTGACAGAGGAGGGAGCAGTTACACCTGAGAAGAGTTTGTTGTCTCCACGAAAGGAATCTGGTTTGACTGGTATTAGGAAGTTGATGAGAACTCCGAAGCCTGTGCAAACACCTCGTATATCTGGTGTTAGTGAATTGTTTGCCGATGAACCTAGTGTGAAGAGACGTCGTAGTCGACCCTCATCAGTGCCACCGACCAACTTGACAGAGGAGGGAGCAGTTACACCTGAGAAGAGTTTGTTGTCTCCACGAAAGGAATCTGGTTTGACTGGTGTTAGGAAGTTGATGAGAACTCCGAAGCCTGTGCAAACACCTCGTATATCTGGTGTTAGTGAACTGTTTGTCGATGAACCTAGTGTGAAGAGACGTCGTGGTCGACCCTCATCAGTGCCACCGACCAACTTGACAGAGGAGGGAGCAGTTACACCTGAGAAGAGTTTGTTGTCTCCACGAAAGGAATCTGGTTTGACTGGTGTTAGGAAGTTGATGAGAACTCCGAAGCCTGTGCAAACACCTCGTATATCTGGTGTTAGTGAATTGTTTGCCGATGAACCTAGTGTGAAGAGACGTCGTGGTCGACCCTCATCAGTGCCACCGACCAACTTGACAGAGGAGGGAGCAGTTACACCTGAGAAGAGTTTGTTGTCTCCACGAAAGGAATCTGGTTTGACTGGTGTTAGGAAGTTGATGAGAACTCCGAAGCCTGTGCAAACACCTCGTATATCTGGTGTTAGTGAACTGTTTGTCGATGAACCTAGTGTGAAGAGACGTCGTGGTCGACCCTCATCAGTGCCACCGACCAACTTGACAGAGGAGGGAGCAGTTACACCTGAGAAGAGTTTGTTGTCTCCACGAAAGGAATCTGGTTTGACTGGTATTAGGAAGTTGATGAGAACTCCGAAGCCTGTGCAAACACCTCGTATATCTGGTGTTAGTGAATTGTTTGCCGATGAACCTAGTGTGAAGAGACGTCGTAGTCGACCCTCATCAGTGCCACCGACCAACTTGACAGAGGAGGGAGCAGTTACACCTGAGAAGAGTTTGTTGTCTCCACGAAAGGAATCTGGTTTGACTGGTGTTAGGAAGTTGATGAGAACTCCGAAGCCTGTGCAAACACCTCGTATATCTGGTGTTAGTGAACTGTTTGTCGATGAACCTAGTGTGAAGAGACGTCGTGGTCGACCCTCATCAGTGCCACCGACCAACTTGACAGAGGAGGGAGCAGTTACACCTGAGAAGAGTTTGTTGTCTCCACGAAAGGAATCTGGTTTGACTGGTGTTAGGAAGTTGATGAGAACTCCGAAGCCTGTGCAAACACCTCGTATATCTGGTGTTAGTGAATTGTTTGCCGATGAACCTAGTGTGAAGAGACGTCGTGGTCGACCCTCATCAGTGCCACCGACCAACTTGACAGAGGAGGGAGCAGTTACACCTGAGAAGAGTTTGTTGTCTCCACGAAAGGAATCTGGTTTGACTGGTGTTAGGAAGTTGATGAGAACTCCGAAGCCTGTGCAAACACCTCGTATATCTGGTGTTAGTGAATTGTTTGCCGATGAACCTAGTGTGAAGAGACGTCGTAGTCGACCCTCATCAGTGCCACCGACCAACTTGACAGAGGAGGGAGCAGTTACACCTGAGAAGAGTTTGTTGTCTCCACGAAAGGAATCTGGTTTGACTGGTGTTAGGAAGTTGATGAGAACTCCGAAGCCTGTGCAAACACCTCGTATATCTGGTGTTAGTGAATTGTTTGCCGATGAACCTAGTGTGAAGAGACGTCGTAGTCGACCCTCATCAGTGCCACCGACCAACTTGACAGAGGAGGGAGCAGTTACACCTGAGAAGAGTTTGTTGTCTCCACGAAAGGAATCTGGTTTGACTGGTGTTAGGAAGTTGATGAGAACTCCGAAGCCTGTGCAAACACCTCGTATATCTGGTGTTAGTGAATTGTTTGCCGATGAACCTAGTGTGAAGAGACGTCGTGGTCGACCCTCATCAGTGCCACCGACCAACTTGACAGAGGAGGGAGCAGTTACACCTGAGAAGAGTTTGTTGTCTCCACGAAAGGAATCTGGTTTGACTGGTGTTAGGAAGTTGATGAGAACTCCGAAGCCTGTGCAAACACCTCGTATATCTGGTGTTAGTGAATTGTTTGCCGATGAACCTAGTGTGAAGAGACGTCGTAGTCGACCCTCATCAGTGCCACCGACCAACTTGACAGAGGAGGGAGCAGTTACACCTGAGAAGAGTTTGTTGTCTCCACGAAAGGAATCTGGTTTGACTGGTGTTAGGAAGTTGATGAGAACTCCGAAGCCTGTGCAAACACCTCGTATATCTGGTGTTAGTGAATTGTTTGCCGATGAACCTAGTGTGAAGAGACGTCGTGGTCGACCCTCATCAGTGCCACCGACCAACTTGACAGAGGAGGGAGCAGTTACACCTGAGAAGAGTTTGTTGTCTCCACGAAAGGAATCTGGTTTGACTGGTGTTAGGAAGTTGATGAGAACTCCGAAGCCTGTGCAAACACCTCGTATATCTGGTGTTAGTGAATTGTTTGCCGATGAACCTAGTGTGAAGAGACGTCGTGGTCGACCCTCATCAGTGCCACCGACCAACTTGACAGAGGAGGGAGCAGTTACACCTGAGAAGAGTTTGTTGTCTCCACGAAAGGAATCTGGTTTGACTGGTGTTAGGAAGTTGATGAGAACTCCGAAGCCTGTGCAAACACCTCGTATATCTGGTGTTAGTGAATTGTTTGCCGATGAACCTAGTGTGAAGAGACGTCGTGGTCGACCCTCATCAGTGCCACCGACCAACTTGACAGAGGAGGGAGCAGTTACACCTGAGAAGAGTTTGTTGTCTCCACGAAAGGAATCTGGTTTGACTGGTGTTAGGAAGTTGATGAGAACTCCGAAGCCTGTGCAAACACCTCGTATATCTGGTGTTAGTGAATTGTTTGCCGATGAACCTAGTGTGAAGAGACGTCGTGGTCGACCCTCATCAGTGCCACCGACCAACTTGACAGAGGAGGGAGCAGTTACACCTGAGAAGAGTTTGTTGTCTCCACGAAAGGAATCTGGTTTGACTGGTGTTAGGAAGTTGATGAGAACTCCGAAGCCTGTGCAAACACCTCGTATATCTGGTGTTAGTGAATTGTTTGCCGATGAACCTAGTGTGAAGAGACGTCGTGGTCGACCCTCATCAGTGCCACCGACCAACTTGACAGAGGAGGGAGCAGTTACACCTGAGAAGAGTTTGTTGTCTCCACGAAAGGAATCTGGTTTGACTGGTGTTAGGAAGTTGATGAGAACTCCGAAGCCTGTGCAAACACCTCGTATATCTGGTGTTAGTGAATTGTTTGCCGATGAACCTAGTGTGAAGAGACGTCGTGGTCGACCCTCATCAGTGCCACCGACCAACTTGACAGAGGAGGGAGCAGTTACACCTGAGAAGAGTTTGTTGTCTCCACGAAAGGAATCTGGTTTGACTGGTGTTAGGAAGTTGATGAGAACTCCGAAGCCTGTGCAAACACCTCGTATATCTGGTGTTAGTGAATTGTTTGCCGATGAACCTAGTGTGAAGAGACGTCGTAGTCGACCCTCATCAGTGCCACCGACCAACTTGACAGAGGAGGGAGCAGTTACACCTGAGAAGAGTTTGTTGTCTCCACGAAAGGAATCTGGTTTGACTGGTGTTAGGAAGTTGATGAGAACTCCGAAGCCTGTGCAAACACCTCGTATATCTGGTGTTAGTGAACTGTTTGTCGATGAACCTAGTGTGAAGAGACGTCGTGGTCGACCCTCATCAGTGCCCAGAGGAGGGAGCAGTTACACCTGAGAAGAGTTTGTTGTCTCCACGAAAGGAATCTGGTTTGACTGGTGTTAGGAAGTTGATGAGAACTCCGAAGCCTGTGCAAACACCTCGTATATCTGGTGTTAGTGAATTGTTTGCCGATGAACCTAGTGTGAAGAGACGTCGTGGTCGACCCTCATCAGTGCCACCGACCAACTTGACAGAGGAGGGAGCAGTTACACCTGAGAAGAGTTTGTTGTCTCCACGAAAGGAATCTGGTTTGACTGGTGTTAGGAAGTTGATGAGAACTCCGAAGCCTGTGCAAACACCTCGTATATCTGGTGTTAGTGAACTGTTTGCCGATGAACCTAGTGTGAAGAGACGTCGTGGTCGACCCTCATCAGTGCCACCGACCAACTTGACAGAGGAGGGAGCAGTTACACCTGAGAAGAGTTTGTTGTCTCCACGAAAGGAATCTGGTTTGACTGGTATTAGGAAGTTGATGAGAACTCCGAAGCCTGTGCAAACACCTCGTATATCTGGTGTTAGTGAATTGTTTGCCGATGAACCTAGTGTGAAGAGACGTCGTAGTCGACCCTCATCAGTGCCACCGACCAACTTGACAGAGGAGGGAGCAGTTACACCTGAGAAGAGTTTGTTGTCTCCACGAAAGGAATCTGGTTTGACTGGTGTTAGGAAGTTGATGAGAACTCCGAAGCCTGTGCAAACACCTCGTATATCTGGTGTTAGTGAACTGTTTGTCGATGAACCTAGTGTGAAGAGACGTCGTGGTCGACCCTCATCAGTGCCACCGACCAACTTGACAGAGGAGGGAGCAGTTACACCTGAGAAGAGTTTGTTGTCTCCACGAAAGGAATCTGGTTTGACTGGTGTTAGGAGTTGATGCGATGAACCTAGTGTGAAGAGACGTCGTGGTCGACCCTCATCAGTGCCACCGACCAACTTGACAGAGGAGGGAGCAGTTACACCTGAGAAGAGTTTGTTGTCTCCACGAAAGGAATCTGGTTTGACTGGTGTTAGGAAGTTGATGAGAACTCCGAAGCCTGTGCAAACACCTCGTATATCTGGTGTTAGTGAATTGTTTGCCGATGAACCTAGTGTGAAGAGACGTCGTAGTCGACCCTCATCAGTGCCACCGACCAACTTGACAGAGGAGGGAGCAGTTACACCTGAGAAGAGTTTGTTGTCTCCACGAAAGGAATCTGGTTTGACTGGTGTTAGGAAGTTGATGAGAACTCCGAAGCCTGTGCAAACACCTCGTATATCTGGTGTTAGTGAATTGTTTGCCGATGAACCTAGTGTGAAGAGACGTCGTAGTCGACCCTCATCAGTGCCACCGACCAACTTGACAGAGGAGGGAGCAGTTACACCTGAGAAGAGTTTGTTGTCTCCACGAAAGGAATCTGGTTTGACTGGTGTTAGGAAGTTGATGAGAACTCCGAAGCCTGTGCAAACACCTCGTATATCTGGTGTTAGTGAATTGTTTGCCGATGAACCTAGTGTGAAGAGACGTCGTGGTCGACCCTCATCAGTGCCACCGACCAACTTGACAGAGGAGGGAGCAGTTACACCTGAGAAGAGTTTGTTGTCTCCACGAAAGGAATCTGGTTTGACTGGTGTTAGGAAGTTGATGAGAACTCCGAAGCCTGTGCAAACACCTCGTATATCTGGTGTTAGTGAATTGTTTGCCGATGAACCTAGTGTGAAGAGACGTCGTAGTCGACCCTCATCAGTGCCACCGACCAACTTGACAGAGGAGGGAGCAGTTACACCTGAGAAGAGTTTGTTGTCTCCACGAAAGGAATCTGGTTTGACTGGTGTTAGGAAGTTGATGAGAACTCCGAAGCCTGTGCAAACACCTCGTATATCTGGTGTTAGTGAATTGTTTGCCGATGAACCTAGTGTGAAGAGACGTCGTGGTCGACCCTCATCAGTGCCACCGACCAACTTGACAGAGGAGGGAGCAGTTACACCTGAGAAGAGTTTGTTGTCTCCACGAAAGGAATCTGGTTTGACTGGTGTTAGGAAGTTGATGAGAACTCCGAAGCCTGTGCAAACACCTCGTATATCTGGTGTTAGTGAATTGTTTGCCGATGAACCTAGTGTGAAGAGACGTCGTGGTCGACCCTCATCAGTGCCACCGACCAACTTGACAGAGGAGGGAGCAGTTACACCTGAGAAGAGTTTGTTGTCTCCACGAAAGGAATCTGGTTTGACTGGTGTTAGGAAGTTGATGAGAACTCCGAAGCCTGTGCAAACACCTCGTATATCTGGTGTTAGTGAATTGTTTGCCGATGAACCTAGTGTGAAGAGACGTCGTGGTCGACCCTCATCAGTGCCACCGACCAACTTGACAGAGGAGGGAGCAGTTACACCTGAGAAGAGTTTGTTGTCTCCACGAAAGGAATCTGGTTTGACTGGTGTTAGGAAGTTGATGAGAACTCCGAAGCCTGTGCAAACACCTCGTATATCTGGTGTTAGTGAATTGTTTGCCGATGAACCTAGTGTGAAGAGACGTCGTGGTCGACCCTCATCAGTGCCACCGACCAACTTGACAGAGGAGGGAGCAGTTACACCTGAGAAGAGTTTGTTGTCTCCACGAAAGGAATCTGGTTTGACTGGTGTTAGGAAGTTGATGAGAACTCCGAAGCCTGTGCAAACACCTCGTATATCTGGTGTTAGTGAATTGTTTGCCGATGAACCTAGTGTGAAGAGACGTCGTGGTCGACCCTCATCAGTGCCACCGACCAACTTGACAGAGGAGGGAGCAGTTACACCTGAGAAGAGTTTGTTGTCTCCACGAAAGGAATCTGGTTTGACTGGTGTTAGGAAGTTGATGAGAACTCCGAAGCCTGTGCAAACACCTCGTATATCTGGTGTTAGTGAATTGTTTGCCGATGAACCTAGTGTGAAGAGACGTCGTGGTCGACCCTCATCAGTGCCACCGACCAACTTGACAGAGGAGGGAGCAGTTACACCTGAGAAGAGTTTGTTGTCTCCACGAAAGGAATCTGGTTTGACTGGTGTTAGGAAGTTGATGAGAACTCCGAAGCCTGTGCAAACACCTCGTATATCTGGTGTTAGTGAACTGTTTGTCGATGAACCTGACGTTGTCGTTGAGTCTCTTACATCCATTCGTACGCGTCGTGTTGTTAAAATAGCGAAGTCTTCAGTCGATAAATCTGCTAACTCTGATTGTTCCATTTTGAAAAAATTACCTGGAAAATTTACATCTCAATCGACTAATGAAGTCAACGTGCCGCCGTCGAAAACTAGGTCAAAAACGAAGAGGAACGTTTCCACCATGGATTCACAGTATCCTGATTCTCTTTCAGATCGTTCAATGAGTGTAGTAAAGTCTCCTGATAAACGGATGTTGAAAGAATTCACTGAAGTGGTTGTTCCGTTCCCGAATAATGTGATGGAAAATCATTCGCGGAAAGGGAAGACTCTCGCATTTACATCTCGGTTGACTCCTAATGATACGTCAAATTCATGTGATCAATCTGCACTTTTGAAAATGGGTTTTATTGAGAACTCACATCCTACGGTATCCTTTAGCTCGAACATGTCTAAGGATCGTGAGTCTGATTCTGTTGTTCCTGTCGCAAGCCGTCTCCGTAATAGAAGGATCCCGTCAAGTATTGAATGTTTGTCATCCAGTCGTACTCGACGTGCAGTTAAAGCACCGGACCCTTTGACCAATGAATCTGCCACTAAAGGCAGTTCCGGTAAGAGTTCCGTGATGAAAACATCCTCTAGAAAAGTTGTATCTCAATCGAATAATGAGGTTGCCATACAACCGTCGAAAACTAGGTCAAAAACCAAGAAGAACGTTTCCACCATGGATTCGCAGTTTCCTGATCCTCTGCTCAATCATTCGGTCAATGCAACGAAGTCTGCAAACAACACCTCAAAAAGATCTATAAAGAGACTAGCTGAAGTGCGTCGAGTCTCTTCTAGTATTCCATTGGCCAAACGTCTACGGAGTAGAATTGATCAGTTGGATATTAAATGTATAACATCTGAACACACACAAAATGAAGAAAGATCTTTACCCGTGAAAAACCAATCTGGTGAGGAAAAGAAGAAAAATGGTACCATGACAAATAATCCGCGAAATCGTAAACAGCTAATAACTTCAAAATCAAAACTACTTTCAACTACTTCATCTTCAAAATCTGCTTCAACTAATGAATCTAAAAATATTACAACATTGAAGGTTAACACAAATTCACGACATATTAAACGCATTTCTGTTACGCCTGTTGATAATATAGCTAATGTTTCACCAAAAAGACGTGTTCTTCGTTCTCGTAAGTTAATAACTACTTCTTCAGAAATAAGTCAACCAATTGAAGAAAAAATATCAACTTCTAAAATCACTAATAAGTCGAAATTAAAGACCACTACTACTACTACTAATAATAATAATAATAATAATAATAGATCAGTAGTATCGAAATCATCTCAAGCTAAACAATCACCAGTTTCAATTCGTCAAACTCGTTCAAGAAAAAAACAGACAGCAACAAACAATCTATAAAAATAAATAATACTTTTATTCATTCATTCGTAAATAACAAACAAAAAAAGTTTACCTATTTTTAACACCTTTATGTATTTATGTTTAGTGTATTATTTATTCAAAGGAACAATCTATTATCCTTATTCAATTCAAAGAGTACCATATAGATATATATATATATATCACTTGTTGTTACCATAGTTACTATCATTATTACTATTAGTAGTAGTAGTAGTAATAATATTAATAGACTCTCTAGAGTAACAACATTTACCAATACGATTGAATACTAATGTTTATTAGTTAGTTAACTTATTCATTCATGGTTTTATGTTAATTCTTATTACAATATTACTGTAATTTATTTCGTTTTTATTATTTTTTTAGAATTAAATATCTATCTATATTTACTGTCCACTTAGGTTATGCTGTTAAAATTGATGTTGTATATAATCTATACATGTTTCTGTTTATTATATATAATAGTTTAAGTGTATATTTGTTTTGTTATTGTTAATACAATATATCATACATTGTCATTATTATTATTATGATTAATGTCAACTTTTATTTCTAATCATTTCTACGTTTATATTTTATTGTTGCATTCACTTTTGTTTTCTTCAAAAATGCTAAACGTCAAGCAATATATATATATATATACGTATATGTATATGTATCTGTTGTATATTCAGTCAGTGTGCTGTTAAGAGTATGAGAACTGGTGTCACTTCCCGGCTGCCCACACCGTGGAAGGGTATTTCTTGAGGAACCTGAAAAGGAAGTTGGATTAATGTTGACCTTAACGACCTGGGAACGTGACCGCAGAGCCCAAGGGACACCTGCTTGAGGCCGGTTGTGCACGGCCTTTTTTGTGGGAGGTTTTTGACGTGTTAGCTCCGTTCTTCAAAGAGTTTTACCGCGCCGGAGACGGAAATCCGTGAGGTGTGACATTTTTAGGGTCGACCTTTTCTAACCCCTTTCTTCCCTGTGAGAAGACAGCATCGCTGCAGATGCTGGTTGTCCGAGGGACACACCTTACTGATGTCACACTCCTCTACAGTCAGCAGTATGAATTCGCCCTCAGACCTTGAGTTGCTGCTTTTAGTCTTACTGTTGTCCAGTCGACTTGCCTGGCATAGTAGAACCTACAGGAACATATGTTCCAGCAAATATAACTTGGTTGGGTCATCACGATAGGCAAGTCCGACCACCGCATCAAGGTAGCAGCTACGGTCGGTATCTGTTGTATATTGTTCATTATAAGGTCTAAGTGAATTTCATTTACAGGAAAAAATGTTCAATCAAGTATTGTGTAGAGTACTTCAGTTAATTCATCTTTATAACCATGATATTAACACCGTTGAATACCGGCTCAGTAGTGGTCTAGAGGTTAAGCGTTCGCACACAAGACCGATAGGTCCTGGGCTCGAATCTCACAGGGTAGGGTCGTGGATGTGCACTACTGAGGAGTCCCATAATAGGACGAAACGGCTATTTAGTGCTTCTAGATTTTCCATAGTGATCTAGATTCAATTGACTCATGATCTCAACTGTTGAAATTACTATAATATCCACAAAAATCCTTTTCTGACATAAGTTTTTATTATCTAGTAATTGTTCTGTTTATATAGTCTGAGAAAGAAATCGCTATTGATAATTTACCTTTATGCGCTGGGATCTAACTGACCTAAAATGTGAATCGTAATTTTGAAGTGTTTATTGAACGATTTGTCAGGTATTTAAAAAAAATTCTAGGACTTTAGTTGTGTACTAAATAGAATAGATTATTAGACTAGAAATTATACTGTCATGTACTATAGGCCAGTTTCCTATAATTTGTAACATAGAAGTCATTAACGATGAAATACAATAGCTGTGCGTTTTTTATAATATTAGGCTGAGTTGTGTGAAGGAAGATTTAATTCTCTGTTTAGGACATTTTCAGATATGCAGTTTTCAATATCAGTAAACAACTTCAGTTAAGATAACTATGCATCTTAAGATTTGCAACAACTTAGCAATTTAAGTATGGGTACTATTCTTCGAGAAAGGTACTTCAAGTGTATCTGGTTAGTTTTACCGATCATGGCGAAATGTTGAAGATGACTTAATGTATACATTAGCTCACAGTTGCATAATTACGTTGAGTTTTATTTCTAATATGATCATTTATCATGCATTAAAAAACAAATAAGATTAGAAAATCCCGTGATTTTAAAAATAAGATTCGCAGGTAGATACAACATAAATGAAACTGGTTTACTGTAATGAGTTTTGTTCCATCCCAGGTAATCTATGATTTAAAATCATGTCGATCCTGCAAATTCCAACTAGTCAAACTGCACATATCAACACGACTCTGTCCAGTTTTCTGTTTGACTGTCTCTGGCTTCCATCTGGTATAGACCATTCATCATTATGCATTTAAGTCGATGTATAATAAGTGTCCAAACCATCTAACGACAAAGTTTTATGACATCGCAATTATCGTAGCCAGTAGTTGGAGACAGTGATATTGGTCAGAATAGGCCGCAATGTCATAGATACATTCACTCCTTGTGTTCTCTTAAATCCTGAGTTTTGAAATCATATACGTTTTATTCCCATGAATTTATTCTCGCATCGCCTATATTTAGTGTTCCCCACTTCCACTGATACTGTTATTACCATGGAATGCCTTGATAATTTCATCCCTCGGTACTGATTTAGGGTGACAACTTATGCTGAAACACATGTGCCAGGCTCCGCTATATTCGACTGAGTAACATCGCATCGTTAATATGTTTACAATGCATACCTCAAATTCATACCGCCCAATGAAACTCGTAGACTTTACTTCCTACATATTCTACATTTTATTTCATGAATTTGCTGGACATTTGTTAGTATTGACTATACAATCACGATGTGATTGATGATTATAAAGATGAGAGACATTCTGTTTCCTTTATAGATAACATGACGCTCTTATATGAAATTAAGGTCTTAAATAGGTATGTGAATCCTTTTCACCTTATTCAATAATAAGTCTAGATATTTCAAACCGCCCTTAAGCTAAAAAGTACTTGTAAGTTGCTAATCTTCTGAATGTATTATGGAGAGTGATGATGACATAGCTCTTAAAATGTTTTGAAGAATATGAATTATTGCTAGAATTTCATATTCTATCAAGCAGTATCATACCAGGATTAAGCGTCACAAAGTTAGGGAAAAGAGCGTATGCGAAATTATAATTGAAAGCCTCTTTTTCACTTGTAAGATATATTGTTCGTCGAGTAAAGTAGACAAGTGAGAAATATATTTAGTGGGTTTTATTTGGAACTGGTCGTTTAAATTTTTGTGTGACTCAGAAGTCTTATTCGCTTTAGTACGTAGGCAATGTCTCAATTTCACTCGAATTCGATTTGTAATTTGAGTGCTTCAAGTAGCTGTTAAATTCACTTATCTCTCGAAGACGTGTTACCTGATGAAGGAATCAAACTATGCAATATGGAAGTGATATGTCAAATGTATTTATAGATGACACAAGTGTTGTCACAGCTTGGATTCGGAGGGCTCGATTAGCCTTCGCCAACTTGCATCACTTGTCACTTAGGTTAGATACCTATCTACCAACAACAAGATGAGTTTACTGTTCATCAATTCCCTTTGTTCTATATTATGGATGTGAAACATGGTTATTAAAAATAGAGAATATTTGTAGATACTTGTTTTCGATCATATATGTCTTTGGAGCATAGCCTGTGTATTTTCGGATCACCGAGTGAGTAATGTCAAGGTCAGGCTTAAAGTACGATGTTAATATGGAAAATCGATCGGTAAGGCAGTGAATCCTCAACTGAGATGATTGGGAAATGTGTATACTTGGTCATCACTTACCACGATAAGCGATCTTCTGTAGAAGCAGGTTGGAAGAAAGCTCGTGCCATCAATCCACGAAGGCTTCGACAGTTGGACTGAGTCGTGTAGATGGTTGACGGGTTCATGATCTCAATGAAATTCAAGAATCTTCACAACGTCATACGAAAAATTATTATGTCCTCACTAGTGAGTATCTTCAAGAGGGAATTTCCGGAGTTCTAGTGAGAAGCGTGACCAATGGAGCTAATCTGTTTCGTGTGTGAGGCATTTACCCACCGAAGACAATGGGAGATGACTGCGCAATATCGTGGATTGGTTGAGATTAGACATTAACACTATTGGATGTCTGCTCAGTTGTCTAGGGGTTAAGTGCTTGAGCGGAACCGAAGGCCCTATGTTTGAGTCCCACCTGCGGGATCGTGGATGTGCAATGTTGAGGAGTCTCGTCCCAGAACGAAACTGCCGTTTAGTACGTCCAGGTTTCCTATATTAGTCTGTCATTGGTCAGTTCATGGTTCCAATGATATTCGTCATTTCTTTTTTCGCGCCTGTTGCCTTCCATAATGGTCAGAAACTATTTGTTCGTGGATTTCCTAATGATAATACATCGACTAAGGTAACTTGGTAGTATTCTTTTAACATACGATGAGTCCTTCTTATGATTAAACCTACTATTCTCATGAATTTAGAAGTCATAGAGCGGCTAGGATTGAATTGACTGCCATGTGTTATCAGTCCGTAAAGCCACTTGTTTTGGCTATTATTTGAAGTCTTCTATGTATCAGATATTGTTTATCTTTTGTACTCTCCTAAAATCTCAATATTCTTTTCTTTTATGTCTGAACGTGTTTATTTTCTTCATTTTAATTTATGTTTCTGCTTTATCATTTTAAATAGTGGCTCGGCTTGAACTAGTACATGTTTGTACGCTTTTCTTAATTAGTGTCTCTCTCCCTCTCTTTAGGATTGGTCAACTAATAATATGTAGTGCAGAATTGTATCAAATTGATAACCTTTTGTCTAATAACATCTTATTTGATTGATTTAAGTGTTTAATAACTACCTGTCAATCACATAGAAAGTTATATTTGACACCATTTTTTCTACAATGTCGATTGGTTATATCATTTATTTATTTATTTTAACACATAGATATTGGTACAAGGAGGCACCAAATACATATGCGCCATATAAATATCATGTGATATGCGTGAGGGCTGTGATACTGCCCGGGTGCTCAAACCGAAGCAGGTATTGGTTATCAAGTTTTGATTGATTGTTTCGTCTATAGAAATAGCATCATGGATTAGTGTATAGTATATGAGAAGTTTGTGAAATGAATTTGAAAATCTTTCAGTTTTGTAGTATATTTTACCTAGACCTTGAACTACATTGCCGAAATAGTGAATCCAATTGGGTTTTTTTTTTAAATAAATAAATAATACACTGTAAGTTAGTTAAACAGAATATCTCAAAGTAGTCGTCCTAAGATGACTGTTTCATCATCTTTACAAAAAGATTATTTATTTTTATTATTTACAGTTAAATAAAAGAAAGAAATACATTGACAGGTACTTATTGATACCAATGTTTATTTATTATTATAACAAGGTACTTATACTATTAATAATCATAAGAATGAATTATTTCATGGAATTTTATTCTAGAATTATATTGATTGTATTTTGCTTTTGAATAAGATTTATAGCATGAAATAAATTCATTTGAATAGTTGAAACCATGAGTCAATCGAATCTAGACCACCATGGAATACATGGAAGCGCTGGATGGCCATTTCGTCCAATTATG